ACATTCTATAATAAGTAGTATATGAATGATTGGACGAAATTTCCCTGGAAGCACAAGACCGGTTTCGCGTTTGTTGCCGCTCGTCACGCATGCTTATCCAGTAGCTGCTTGTTTTTTCATTCATAAACGTATACCCAGAAAGTATATTTTGTCATAATAATCTGATTTGCAACACCGGGTATATTTGTTTGTACAGCTCGTTCATTGAAGAATCAATAGTATGATTCGGTGCTCTGTAGGGGGTGAGATACTACTAATTGGAACAAAGAAATTTCGTCCAGTCATTCATATTCTACTGCCTGTCAAATATCCAATAAATACTCTTAAGTCGCGTTTGTCGCGGTTAGTGGTATCTAACCCACATAAACAACATAGAATCATAACATTGATTTTTCAATTGGCTGGTTATGGAAGAGCCATCAGAAAAAATTTACCCGGTGTTGCAAATGAAGTTATTGTGAGGAAAACAGTTACGTTCTACCCCAAGATAAAGGTGATAACGGGTAAGCCAGTCGGCCTCATTTCAGCTGATTAGAAAACCGTTTAGATTCGGTAACTTCAATGGTGTTTACGCTATTTGAAATCAAATACGAATTCCCGCCAAACCTAGCTACCGTATCCAGTTTCTTCTCATTTTCAGTTTTATTATAGAGAAAAGTCAATCTCTAAGATTAGGACAGAATCTATTTAATGTCATTAACGGCTCAGGCGGTGTTGGTATTCTACTTAGAATCATTACTTCACGGAATCGATAATCACCCTGGACATGATGAGAGAACGCATACATCTGGTCAATTAGCTCAAGTAACTTCGCCTCTAAGAAGGCGCTTACCATCCTCATCTTTTGAATATTTGGCTAATTTGAAAAATTCCAAGTTGAGACTATTTGCCATAAAAAGCCAGCAAGTAGCAGCAGTATAAATCAAGCAATTGACGTCATAGTCACAAATTCACTTTTACTGTTGCTTAATAAATCACACTTCGTGTATGTATGTGTGTTTGTGAAACGGTGAGAAAAATAAATTATGCGAACCAGACGAACTCCCTTTTGCTTGTGTGTACCGAAACGTCCTGATTAGAAAACTGGAATTTTGCTGTCTCCCTCACCCGAATCCATATCCAATGAAATGCGCACGTTGTAGCATGTGTTTAGAATGAGAATTTACACCGGAAGCCTCCATTGAACGATGCCGGAAATTCAAATTTGCTTGTCAAATATAACGAATCAAGGCCAGATCGATGAGTCTTAGCTCATCTCTATACAGATGTTAAATTGTTTTGCTTTTACAACTATATCTGTCATATTTATTGCTAGAATTATCCATGCAATAAATTATTGGTAAGGATAGTTTATTTGTTAAGTCCTTGAGCTGTTGAATCTAGCTTATTTAGAAAAAACAATTGATGTAATTGAAAGAATTTACTGTCGTTTCCACTGCGAATTCACAATTGGATTGCTCATTTCCGTGTGCTATTTGCCATAAGCTGATTTCATTCGCCACAGTTTTGCGGATTATATTCCCGCCGGAAACTTGCGATCTCCAACCGAAGCAACACGCTCACACCGACGCACCACGATCATCGTCATCCATATTCTGTTCTGTGAAACCTGATAGTCTACGCACCTATAGAGGATAAACGGGAGAGAGGGTGGGTGACGTCCCCCAAAACGCAAAACGAGGGCTAACAAGGCTTCAACGTGCATTGGGATGTTGAATTCTACCACCCCTTCCACCCTATATTGATGGAACACGGTATCGTGTACTGTTTCATGATGCAAATGCGTTTTCTTTTCAAGTACCAACAAATAAGTATTCACTGGCTCACAACGCTGTGCGGTTAAACGGAAAATGTCTTTCGTAGAATTCCGACACGTGCTTACAGTTAAGAAATGCTGACCTTCCGGGAAGGAATTTGCGCGAAAACAGCGAATACATGGGGAAGGGAGGGAAAAAACGATGAGCATGAACGATGAGGTGGTTTAAATCAAGACTTACAATGTGTTCATTGCGAACGCTGCAAGCTCATACTATATTACAATGAATGTGACGGATAAAAACTGTCGTTTACCGTTCAGTGTTCAGTGTCACATAAAAATCAATTATATCCAGATAAGATAGGGTACTGGATGTCACTCAAGTTGACTGTTACCAACGATACAGAATGGAGACTGGGATAATTACAAGCAGAACCACAGGGTGGGTAACAAACTTGATTTTATATACGTTGTAATTTTGAAAACACAGCGACGTCGGTACAGGTGAAAATAAGTCGACGTTTCGGTTACCGTGTGTAATCTTTATCAAGACGATTTTACAATCGATTACCGATACTCTCGTAATCAAACCAATCAAAGGTTTCACAGGCATTGGAAACCATACGTTCCCTCAGGGATGTCTT